TATTTCCATTTCTTTGTGTCTTCCTCAATTTGTTTCATGAGTATTTTATAGTTTTCTGAGTACAGATTCTTTCCCTCTTTGGTTAGATTTATTCCTAGGTGTTTTATGGTTTTCGGTGCAATTGTAAACGGGATAGACTCCTTAATTTCTCTCTCTTCTGTCTTGTTGTTGGTGTATAGAAATGCAACTGATTTCTGTGCATTGATTTTATATCCTGCCACTTGACTGAATTCCTGTATGAGTTTTAGCAGTTTTGGGATGGAGTCTTTTGGGTTTTCCACATAAATATCATATCATCTGCAAAGAGTGAGAGTTTGACTTCTTTGCCAATTTGGATGCCTTTTATTTCTTTTTGTTGTCTGATTGCTGAAGTTAGGACTTCTAGTACTATGTTGAAAAGCAGTGGTGATGTGGACATCCCTGCCATGTTCCTGACCTTAGGGGATCGAGAATGATATTTGCTGTGGGTTTTTCATAGATGGCTTTTATGATATTGAGGTATGTATCCTCTATCCCTACACTGTGAAGAGTTTTAATCAAGAAAGGATGCTGTTCATTGTCAAATGCTTTTTCTGCAACTATTGAGAGGATCATATGGTTCTTGTCCTTTCTTTTATTAACGTGGTGTATCACATTGATTGATTTGTGGATGTTGAACCATCCTTGCAGCCCAGGAATAAATCCCACTTGGTCATGGTGAATTATCCTTTCAATGTACTGTTGGATCCTATTGGCTCGGATTTTGGTGAGAATTTTTGCATCCTTGTTCATCAGGGATATTGGTCTGTAATTCTCCTTTTTGATGGGGTCTTTGTCTGGTTTTGGGATCCAGGTAATGCTGGCCTCATAAAATGAGCTTGGACGTTTTCCTTCCATTTCTATTTTTTGGAACAGTTTCAGAAGAATAGGTATTAATTCTTCTTTAAATGTTTGGTAGAATTCCCCTGGGAAGCCATCTGGCCCTGGACTCTTATTTGTTGGGAGATTTTTGATGACTGCTTCAATTTCCTTGCTGGTTTATGGGTCTGTTCAGGTTTTCTATCTCTTCCTGGTTCAGTTCTGATAGTTTATACGTCTCTAGGAATGCATCCATTTCTTCCAGGTTGTCTAATTTGCTCGCATATAATTGTTCATAATATGTTCTTATAATTGTTTGTATTTTTCTGGTGTTGGTTGTGATCTCTCCTCTTTCATTCATGATTTTATTTATTTGTGTCCTTTCTCTCTTTTTTTTTTTTTTGATACGTGTGGCCAGGGGTTTATTGGTATTAATTCTTTCAAAGAACCAGCTCCTAGTTTCTTTGATCTGTTTTACTGTTCTTTTGGTTTCTATTTCATTGATTTCTGCTCTGATCTTTATTATTTCTCTTCTCTTGTTGGGTTTTGGCTTTATTTGTTGTTCTTTCTCCAGCTCCTTTAAGTATAGGGTTAGGTTGTGTATTTGAGACCTTTCTTGTTTCTTGAGAAATAGAGCCTCCATTTTTTATTGCACCTCAATAATAGTCTTTTTTATTTCAACTTGGTTAGATTTTATTTCTCCAGAAAGGGGGATTCTCTAGTATCTTCTATGCTTTGTTCAAGCCCGGCTAGTATCTTTATAATCATCATTGTGAACTCTAGTTCCAATATCTTACTAATTATCTGTATTGATTAGGTCCCTGGCAGTCGGTACTGCCTTTTGTTCTTTTTTTTAAGGTGAGTTTTTCTGTTTTGTTTTCTGTTTCTGTTTGAGAAGAATAGATAAATGAGAAAACAAAATCCACCAGGGTAAAAACAACCACAGAAAAATATACACTAAACAAATCAGGAGAGACCCAAAAACAGGGGAAAAGAAAAAAAAAAAGAATATGATCAGGCTGGTGAATAGAACAGAGCCACACGGTAGATTTTGGGTGTATTTTGGTCTGTTAGAAGAAACTGCCTCCCAAAATTTTAAAGATAGAAAAACTTATATATATACAAAAATAAGGGTAAATATGATGAAGGGATAGAATATGACTACAAAAATGAAAATTAAAAATATTTTTAAAAAGGAATTGATAAGATGTTGGTTGAAAAAGGAAAAAGAAGAAAATTTTTTAAAAAAGAAACAGAAAAAGAAAAAATAAAGAAAATTTTAAAAAATTAAATTTGAAAGACTAAAGGATCATGGGGAAAAAGGCATGAATTCTATGTGCTGTATTCCCCTAGTGCTGGAGTTCTGCCGTTCTCATTGATCAGTCAATAAACTTGGTCTTGGCTGGCTGTTCTTGCTGATCTTCTGGGGGAGGGGCCTGTCACAGTGGTTCTCAAATGTCTTTGCTGGAGGTGGAATTGCCCCGCCCTGGCTGGGCCGGCCTAAGTCATCTGCTCAGGTTTGCTCTAGGGAACTTTTGTTCCCTGAAAGCTTTCCTTACAGCTTTGGAGGATGAGAGTGAAATGGTGGCCTCCCAATCTCTGCCCCTCAGGATCCAAAAACTCGGGGCCCCATTCCTCAGTGCACCCCCAGAGAAAAGCAGTCAATCACTCCCGTCTCCCTGGTCTCTGGCCGCACTCCGTGCTCACCCGGCCTGTGACTGAGCGTTTCTGTCTCTGGCACATGACCCCATGTGGAGTCTCCAAACCCAGCACATCCCTGCGGTGCGCTCCTGCACCACTCCTCCCAGGGGAGGAAGGGGAGTCTGTCCGGATCTGCCACTTTTGGGGTCCCTGCTGGAAGACCAGTGGCCCAACTGTGCCATGGATCATGGTTTATGGCCACCCTGAGCTAAGAGCCCATTCCTTGGCTCCGTCTCTGCAGCCAGCTTCCCCGCTCTGATACCTGGGAGCTCTGCCGCCCTGAGGCACCCCCAGTATTTCTGTGGAGAAAGAGCCACACAGTAGATTTTTGTCCCAGTGAGGATTCCACCCCCCACTTAGCCACTGGAGTGACATCCCTCAGTGGACAGACTTCTAAAAGTTCCAATTTTGTACTCCGTTGCTCTATCACTTGCCGGTAGTGGCTGATGGAGGCTCCCTCCCCACCTTGGTCTATCTTCCCATATATCGCCTGGGATTCACTTCTCCTCACGTCCTACCTTCCAGAAAGTGGTTGTTTTTCTGTTCAGAGAGTTGCTGCTATTCTTTTCTTTGATCTCCTGTTGAGTTTGTAGGTGTTCAGAATGGTTTGATCCCTATCTAGCTGAATTCCTGGGACCAGACGAAATTTAGGTCTCCTACTCCTCTGCCATCTTGCTCCTCTCCCATCTTGAATTCATTTTGCTTTGAACACTTCTCCCTCCCTTGTTACTCCACAGTAGACCTGTTTGCACACTGTAAGCGCATTGGGGGAACTAGCTGACATTGGGGTAAGCTTAATGGGGGAAGACGCTGACCTTTAGATTTTAACTGGAACACTGAATTAAGACAGAACACATTGCACTAAATAAACTAATCAGCACATTCTTGCATATCACTCCCTAAGCCTTCATTACTATGAGCTTATAGTAATCAATCCTCTTTAAAGTTTCTTAGGGAACTTGAAGAAACTGGCCCATGTTTATTGAAGACATTTGACTGATTGCTCAAGCCTTGGTAGAGCTGTAGCTGGTCTCTTTAAAAGCCCTGCCTGCATGGAGATGAGACGGTAGATTTTTGGGACATCAGTATGCCATCTTCTGGGTTAGCTGGCTTTCTTGATGAAAATCATTTTCCTTGCCCCAACACTTTGTCTCTCTCCATTTATTGGCCTGTCCTGCAGTGAGCAAATTGGATCTGGGTTCAATGACAAGCCACAGTGATCCCATCTTTTGAGGTGGGTAATCACTGACCCTTCCATTTAGAGCAAGTGTTTACTCTCCCTAAAAAAAAGTTTATGTGATGCCTGGGTGACTCAGCTGGTTACGTGCTTGACTCTTGACCTCAGATCAGGTCTAGATCTCAGGGTCTGGAATGTGAGTCCTGCTTTGGGCTCCAAATTGAGTGTGGAGCCTATGTTAAAAAGAAAGATTCCTTGTAGTAGTTTTTAAATATTATCAGAAAGAAAGTGAAAGCTAAACTCTCACCTTTGGTATAAAAGTCCCTCCTCATGCAGCAGAACAGCAGACTCCACCATGGCTGAGGTAAGCCCCCTGGAACTTTCTATTTGCAGTTCTCCAGCAGTAGGCCACCCCCAGCTTATAAAAGCCTCAGTGTGGGTTCCTGGTATTGGGCACTCTGAATTCCAGAGTTTGGAAAGGCTTTAAAGGATATTATGGAAAAGTCTTGGTTGTTTAAAACTCTCTTTTCCTGCAGGACAGTGTGGGCTTCAGGCCCAGTGAGCCTCCCCTCTCCTCTGGCTCAGCGCAGGGCCCAGGGGCTCCTGGGGAAGGAGTTGAGTTGGGGTGGGGGTTTTGCCTGCCTGAGCTGGGAAGCATCTGGTGTGTGGGCCGAGGAGGTGGTCCCAGGACTTGGGAAGTGAGGGGATTCCCCAATGTGCCTGTCTCCCTCGCTGGGGCAGGAGTTCAGTGCCTGCTCAGCTCTCTCCTCCTCTCTCCTCTTCCCTCTTTGGCATCTGTCCTGCCTCGGTAAGTATGCTTCCATTCCAGCCTTCTGACTCTGATCTTCCAGTCAGCCCTGATGTGCAGATTCACGCGGTCCAGGCAGGGGCAGGACGGGATCCGATGGTTAATGTGCACCAAAGGGGAATGAGTTGAATCAGGCGATTCAGAGAAATGACTGCATTCTCAGAAGGAGTGACCCACTCTGCACCCACCTGATCCCCTGGAGTGAGCCGAGGGCTTGATTGCTGCAAAAACAAATCTACCCTTTGTTGCCTGGGCAGCCTCTCCTTCTCCAGGTGGGGCCCAGGGTCACATTTTATTGCCACCAACTACTGTGCAGGGTGTCTGGGCCTGACCTTAGTTACACACTGAATCTCAGAGTGAAAACTCCCCTTTTGATTCCAAAGTGGAGATCATCCCTGGGTGTGCTGTGCCCTGGCTGAGAGAGGGGAGTCGCTGGGCCCTGGGTTGTGGCCACACTGACCCTCCAGCCCCTCTTCCATGTGGATTTCCTCCACCCCCATTCCAGGCCAGGCCCTTCACCGGATCCTGCGGAGGAAGGAGCCGGGCAGCACACAGGATCCTGCCCCAGTGGAGCTCAGAGCCCACAGGGAGGTGCAGACAGACACGGGGAATCCCAGCAGGACAGGATCCATGCAGCGGGAGGTGGCAGCTGAGCCAGGCTGGGGCCCTGAGAGCAGCTGCTCAGAGAGGGATGTCTGTGTAGGGGAGAAGAAGAAAGGAGGGGTGGGGAAGGTGACTGTGACCGAGACAGCCCGATGTGCAGAGGATCAGAGGCAGGGGCCAGCTCTGTGGTGAGGAGAAGGGCAAGCCAGTCAGCCTGGGGCCGGAGGGCAGGGACGGTGAGGAGGGCTGAGGAAGCGCTGGCTGGAGAGCCTTTGAGCTGCCCACGGTGCATGCCCCGTGCCCTGAGGCCAGGGAAGGTCATGGCCAGATGTGCCCTTTGGGAAGGCCACAGTGGGTCTTGGGGAGACTGGGTGTGGGGTAGCAGGGACAGGAGGCCAGGGTGGGAGTGGGGGGTGCAGTCAAGAGGGTTAGGGACCTGGCTGGCTAACTCGGAAGAGCATGCAACTCTGGATCTCAGGGTGGTGAGTCGAGCCCCATGTTGGGTTGGAGATTGCTAGAATAAATAAAATTTTTAAAAAAAAGGCTGTGAAGTCTCAGAATCAGGCCCGGAGACTGCCTTGAAGAATTCAGAGGATGAGAAGGGAATGAATTCAGGACAAACTCCCAGGATCAGTGTTGGATGTTGGATATTGGCATGACAAAGAAGGCTAAGGAAGGCTGACCCTTGGTCTCTGATTAGGTGGCCTGCAATGAGAGAGAGAGGTTTGTGGTTTGCTGAGAGCAGCCAGAGAAAGGGAGAGAAATTGAAACATTCTCAAATCAGAGGTTGTGGCCCCCTGGGGTAGGGGTGGGGGGCACTGAGGAGCAGGAAAGAGGTATGGAGGGGGAGAGAGGCAGGACCAAATCAGGTAGAGACGAGGCAGCTCAGCGCTGCCCAGCTGACTGTTCTTGGCCAAGCCCCTCTCTCTCTGATCCTCAGTTGCCCACCTGAGCAATGGGGTGATGCTTCCTTCCCCTGCGGCTGTGGGAAAAGTGCCCGCAGAGGCCTGCCGTGTGCATGCTGGGAGCAAGCCCCCTCAGGGCCAGAAGTTGCCAGCCCTCCAGAGCCTCAGGTCCCTGCAGGATGCTGTTAGCTCGTGTCTCTCAGGTTGGCATCTCCAAGGGCGGGTGTCCTGGGGCTGGAGGGGCCAGCATCTCAGGAGGATCAGGTGCCTGGTGCGGCCACGGACAATGAGGGCTAAGAGGTGTGATAAGGACTGGAGAAGGGTAGAGAAGCTGGTGACTCTCCTCCCTGACTGCTGCGGAGGGTCTGGGGCTCCCAGGCTCAGCGAAGGGGTTTTCATGCAGGTGGTCATGTCCGCAGGCCTGGGAGCAGGCGTACAAAGCACCTGCATATGCATGCTCACAGCCTCAGTGTGCACATGAGTACACCCAACACACACACACGCAAACCCAACATATACAACACACAGAGATGTGCAGGTACACGGAACACAACACACAGAATACACATGCACCCCATGTACATATACACACATGTGCTCCCTCACACACATCCCATACAACGTGAGCGTGCGCACATACATACCTAATAATATGCACACACTGAACAAATCTCCACTCTCCCATTCCACAAGGACCTTTTCTCCAGGCTTCCAGCCCCTGGTTGTGCAGAACCTCTGAAAGTGACAGCAGGATGAGGGCCCCACAGGGGCCAGGAGTTCCCTCCCACTGCAGGCTCTCACCAGGTGATGAACATCACCCAGGGCCCCAGCTGGGCGCTCTACTGTTGCCTAGAAGCCTGGCTACACCATTTTGGGTTTTTGTGTAGCAGTTTTGTGAAGAACCCAAACCTGGAGACCTGATCCGGATTTTCCGATTGGCTATGAACACTGGGCCATCTATGTGGGAGACGGTTATGTGATCCATCTGACTTCTCCAAGTAAGCACTGCTGGAAATATTATTTTCAAAATATTTGTTACCATCATGAGAACAATTAGAAGAAAGTGCTGAGCAAGGGAATCCTGAGTTGGTTACTCCCTGAGCTTGCTTGAGCAGACTATACATCCATATCCTACTGAGTAATCGAGTGGAGTCCCATGGGTCTGGAGGCACGGAAGGCAAGTAGAATGCACATTCCAAGGTCAAGGAGGGGATGAGGAGCCTCTGACTTCTGGCGTCCAGCTCATGGATCACTAGGAGTCACATCCTCTGGATGACCTCCCCCAACAGCAATATTTTGGTTATAAAATAGAGATAATATTTACCTCAAAAGTTAAAAGGTGATGAGGTAATATATGGAAAGTAGACAGTTTGTGAAACACTGTCTACTTTTAGGGGATACTAAAATAAATTTGATCCCTTTCTGAAATGTACAAGTGCACAAAAATTGCACAAATAGTAAATGACTATCATTGTTTATAATAGCAAAAGTTTTGAACAACCTAAGTGTTCAATACCAGGGCTTGATCAAATAGATGATCTATATCCATGGGATGGAATACAATGACATTGGCATAAGCAATCATGACATTAACTGACCTAAAAAAATATTCACAGCTCATGCAGTAAAAAGAACAAAATCTGTGATTCCTCCAAACAGCAAGACCTCAATAGTGTACTCCCTTGGTTCTGTTTATGTCCTGTCCCTTCTCCCTCCCTGTCTCGCCCTCTCCTGCAGCTCCCGATGACCATGGTGGTGTCTCTGATTCCAGGTGAGTACCTGGGGGCTGGCTCTGGCATCATCTTTTCCATTCTGAGCAACAGGGCGGTGGTGAGACAGGAGCTCCTTCAGGAAGTGGTGGGGAGCTGCCCCCATAGGGTCAACCTCTTGGACTACAAGTGCAGACCACGGCCTGTGAAGCTGATCTCCTGCTCTGCGAGGGAGAAGACTGGTCAGGAGATGAAGTACAGTGTTCTGGGCAGGAGCTCTGAGGACTTTGTTACCAACCTGAGATATGGTGAGCCCAACAGCAGGCAGGTAAGGCTCTCTTTGAGACAATCCTTCTTTCTCCTGGAGGTCCCCCTGGGGTGGCAGTGACCAAGCTGTGCAGCCAGAGGGGAGAATTACCATGACCCACTGGCTGGGAGTCAGGATGTATGAGCTCAAATCTTCAATCAGCTTCTGATCCACTGGGGGTCTGTGGACAGGCCACTCCCTCCCTGGGCCTCAGTTTCCCCATGTGTAGGAGGAGGAGTTGGACGGAGGACCTCTGGAGGCCTGCCAGCCTGACCTTCTAGGATCCTTCGCCCGTAGGATCCACCCTAAAGGCAGCTCTTGATGCCCCCAAATGATGTCAGAAAGAGTGTGGGCCAAGCCAGCACCAGGACAGATCTCCTAAGGTCCCAGAGAGCACTCAGGCAAGGGATGCTCAAGATCCATGGGCCTATGTACGAGCTCAAGGATTCATTTATGGAAGATCTGGGGCACAGCTTCCCCACCCACCCCTTCTGGCTTCCACATGTGTTCTCCCCAAACCACACAGCTAATAAGTGGCAGAGGCAAGATTCCAACCCCAGCTGTCCTTCTCTAGAGTCTCTGCTCCTTACCGCCGTACTGAAGCACCTGCAGGGCTCCAGGCCCAGGAGATCGGGTGGACGGAGGCCCCTGGATAAGATGAGGATGAGGATGAAGATGGGAGCAGCAGGTTTGAGGAGGGAAATGAAGATTTTGGATGTGGTTGGCGATGGGTGGTCATTAGAGCTCCTGGTGGCAATGTTGAGTAACAGTTGGACCTAGGAGTCTGGAGTTGAGGGTTGAGGTGGGGCTGGAGATAGAAATTTCCAGGCAGTGCACAGTGCATAGTGAACCCAGAGTATGCTTCCTGTGGCCATGGTTTCCTGAAGTTTCTCCTCAGCTTCTGCCACAGTCCCTCCCTCCCCAGGGCTGTAGTGTAGCCCACACTGCAGAGCAGTTCCCAGGCTCAGCCCCAGAGCTCTGCCCCACCGCAGAAACAAAGCACAACCCCTCCCCGCTTCCCACCCTGAGTCAGGAACGGATGTGGTCACCCAGTTAGCTCACAAAAAAGGATCCCATCCGCCCATCCCGCTAGTTGTCAGGAGAGGCCCAGACAAGACCACCACTAAGAGGCCTCCTCAACTTACAGGTCTCCTAGGAAGTAGGTCCCCTGTAACCCAGCCAGCATCTTCCTAGGAGAGGACTCTGGGCTGGCAGCTCAGCGGGAGGGAGGATGAATGTAGCCCCCAGGCCCTTGGGAGGGAGGGAGAACCTGTCTGCACTTGCTGTGGATGCTGACCATGTGCTACTCACTTTCATGTGGCATATGCCCTGACTGGAGGAGGGGCGACCCTGGCAATGAGCCTTCTAGGTGTTGTTGGATACTTTCTTTTGAAGAGCTAATCCCCAAACCAGTGACAGCCTGAAGGAGCCCCAAATCCTGCAACTACACAGACCAGTGCAGACACCCCAGGGCTCCGCTGTCTGCGAGACCCTCGCCCTCGGGCCACCTAGGTTCTGTCTCTCCCTTTCCCTCTCTCACTGGCTGAAGGATGGGCTAATTGTACCAAGACCAAAGAATCAGTAAGTGTATCTTCAGAAGGACTTCCACCACAAGTAGTTTTCTAGACTTCTGAACCAGAAAGGAAGAAAGGAACATTAATTTGGCACCTGTTGGGTCTTCCCAGCAATTTCTAGCTAAGTGACCTTGGGAAAATCTCTTGACTCTCAGAGCTTGGGTCCCAACCTTCTCTGGGTTGGGGGTAATGATCCACTTTCCACTGATGTTGTCAGGATTAAGTAAGGTCATGTGGAGAAGTCACCCCCCCCATGATGTCTGGTGCCTAGCTAGTATTCCGTGGAGTGTCTACATCCTTCCACCAAGACTCACCATTGTTGTCATGACACATCATTCATTTCACTGTTGGGATGCCAAAAAAAATCCAAACCCAACCGCTGAATTCTGTCCCGCTGTAGCCACACCACCTGGTGCTTGAACCCCCCGACTCTGCGAACGCAGTTCCCAACGTCTTCCCAAGCACCTCCTTTGCTCAGCTCTCCTTTTAGCTTTCTTTGTCAACTCCAAGTCCGGTGCTCATCGTCTGTGACTACCAGATGGAAGTATATACACTTTCCCTGCCTAACCTGCCAGGGCTCAAGCTGCCCCTAGGTTGAATGCTGAACATTAGCCACCTTGACTTTTAGGGCACTGAAAGACTGTGCATGCGGCTCTAATGATGTGTCATTACACATTTGTCCAGACCCACAGAATATCCAACATCGAGAGTGGATCCAAAGGTGAACTGTGGACTTTGGGGCATTATGATGTGTCCGTGTGGGGTCATCAATTGTAACAACAATGGACCCTCTGCTGAGGGATGTTGATAGTGGGGGAGGCTGTGCGTGGGGCAAGCAAGGCGTGTCCAGGAACTCTCTGTACCTTCCTCCTAATCGTGCTGTGAAGCTAAAATGGCTCTAAGAGATAAAGTCTTTTGAAAAAATTAGCCACCTCTGAATATCCCTCTGTTCCTTCACAGCAAGCCCTCCATGTGGTCTCAGAAGTGCCAAGTCCCCGTGATCTCAGGCTTGCTCAGCCAGCCTCTGCCACCGGTGACCCTACTAAATGGCTGCTCCATTTGGCCATCCTTCGTGGTGGCCACTACAGCCACTCCCTGTCAGGCTTGAGGCTTAGGGATGTCACCCTCCCTGGGCTGTACCTTCCCAAGCATGTGAAAGCTGGTGGGTCCCTTAATCCCCCAGCACAAGAGAGGCCAGGCTGGAACTAACTAGTCACAAGACTCCCCTGAAAACTCAGGGCTACCTGGGGTGACTGAGACATAGGAGGACAAGTGAACTCTCGGGGCCGCCAGCTGGCTGCATGTACCACAGAGCCATCCTCCAAGGGAATGACCCTGTGCTGCCCAAGGTGAGGGGACAGGTGCTCAGGGGAGCCACTTGCCCAGGTGACAGCAGTGCTCAGAGAACCAGGCTGCCCTCAGCAGTCCCTCTGCTGTGGGAAAAGGCCACTGTCCCACCTCTTTATGGTGAGTCACCTAGAGAGCTGCCCAGGACATCACCAGGCAGTCCCCTCATCTCTCTATAGGTTTTGCGGGAGGTCCCCTTAATCCCCATCTGTTTCTATCCTCCTATCCTGGTACCTGGAATTTGCCATAATGAATTCAGTTTTTAGCCTTTGCCTTTCATACAACATTTGCTTTCAATCTCCTTTCAATGCATTGGTATCTTAGTAAAAAGTAGCCCATGGTGGCTTTCAGTACTCTGGTAGGACCTGGAAGAAATGGGACTTAGGATGGGCCAAGTCTTGGTGTGAGCGTTGTGTAACCTGGAACAACCCTGGTTGTGGGGGAGGGAGGGTGTTCTTTGAAACAAATGGTCAGGATGGGGAGGCAGTAGAGAGTTAGGAAGGAGGAATGCTAAAGAGGGAGGTGGGGAACTTGAAGACAAGCTCCCCTGTTTCCCTGAGAACGCCTCACATGCTGCACGGCAGGAGGGTCGGTCCTACTCTGGGGCCTTCGGGAAGGCAAGCGACTAGAAGGCTCTTTGCCCACCCTTGGGGATGCTGGTCAGGAAAGGAGGCAGGAGGCCTGGGTTGTGAGGATCCCCTCAGCCCTTCCTCTCAGCCAGACCCTCAGGGCAAATGTTGGCACCATCAGCCTGCTCTCTCTACACCCTCTCTGTTTACTTTGCTCTCTGGGCTACTCTAGTGGACCCCCCCTTCCTTGAGACTTTTCCAGAAAAGGGTCATGCTCAGTCCCTATGCCCACTCTCTTGGTGCCTGAAAAACAAAACAGAGAGAGGCTAGTTTTTTCCCAAGAACTCCCCAGGAGTGGCCAACTTTCTAATCAGGAAACCACAAACCAGGGGCAGTAGGCTGACATTCTGCCTGAAAGATGAGGCTACGTAAACGATCTTCACCGTTTTCTAACTAGCACACTGAATATTGAAAATTTTTCCTTGGAAAAATTAAGGATGTGATCATCAGCCTAACAGGGGCTAGAAATGATTTCTTATTGGTGAAACCAGGCTACTCATAAGACAGAAACTGGCTAAAATACTTTTGACCCACCCCACAGTTACAGGAGCAGTGTGAGAGAGCAGCCCAGGGCCTGTTTCTTTAGGGATGGCACCTGAAGCTTGATCCCTAAACTTGCTCATGCCCAGTCTCTGGGTGGATTTTTGGTTGCCTGATGCGGACTATGGGGGCACCTAGACCCTGCCCTGAGTAAGCCTTTCACACAAGCTGAGGTCCACAGTACCTAATATGACCGAGGATGGTGTCTTCAGTCTGCTTTCAGAGAAGGCGGGATGAGGGGCTCTGTGCCTCGTTGGTGAACACATGCTTCATAAATGCCTTGGTGTGAGATGGAATTCGGTCTGAGGTTTATTGAT